AAGATCCTCACCAGATGAACTCCCTAGACTGTGGACTTTCCAGCCTCCAAAACTGTAAGAAAATAAACCTTTTTTTTTTTTATAAATTACCCAGTTTCCAGTATTTTGTTATAAGCAAGCTACAGTATCTTCCATAAGGTCACATGTTTTGAAGGGATTAGAAATACAGCTTGAAACATTTATATATTTGTTTCTGGCCACAGGAACTTCCTGAGGGCTTTGAGCAGGGAAATAGTAAATACAATTAAGGTGTAAGGGATTTTGTAGCCTTTTATTCCGAAATTATTAATTTTCCATTTCTCGACATTTACAGGTGGTACCCATTTCATTTATTGAACACATATTTACTGAATCTCTGCTGTTCCAGGTGTGGGGTACAGTGCTAAACTCAATGGCTGGGGTTCTTGCCCTCAGAGGAGCTTACAATCTAGTGGAGAAGTCAAACCTATAAAATTTCAGGTTTGGCTCTGCTATAAGGAAAAAAGCAGGGTAAGAAGATAACTCAGTGAAGGAATGAAGGTGGGGCCATGATAAACTGGCTGGTCAGGGGAGACCCCGGAAAAGATGACATTTGCACCTGGACCAGAAGGACAAGAGGGAGCCTGGCAGGGGGAGACCTGAGAGCAGAGCCTTCAAAGTAGAGGGAACCAGTGCAAAGTCCCTAAGAGGAATAATCTTGGCACATTAGAGACCCATAAAAACCTAGACAACAGCAAGTAAGAGAGAGTGGAAGACAAGGCTGGCTTTGGTCAGGAAAGGATTTCTTAAACAACACACACAGTAAAGTTCAGGAACGTGGAAGGACAGGGACCAGGCCAGGTAGGCTTCTAGGCCATGGCAAATGTTTACATGTTATTCCAAATGTGAAGGGAAAAAGATTTTCAATAGGAAGAAGCCCTTCAAATTTCACTTTTTAGAAGCTCGTTTGGGCTTCTGTGTGAAAAAAAGAAACTAAAAGGGGCAGGACTGTAAGCAAGCAGCTGCTAAAAGGCAAAAGCAGCAGTCTAGGTACACTGTGTCACTTGGAATCGGGTGGTGGTAGGACAAGCGGAGAGATTTTATGAGATGTTTTCTGGCAGTAGGGATTGGAGGGTATAGGACTTAATTGTCAAGAGTTATTCAGAAAAGCTCAACAAGGAGACAGAGAAACCCTACTTCTTAAAAAATGTGCTAGGCCAGTGCTTTAGGGAGCACATGAATTCTCTGAGAATCTTGTTAAAATGCAGATTCTAATCCATTAAGTCTAGGGTGGGCCTGAGAGTCTGCATTTCTAACAAGTTCCCAGGTAATACCAATGCTTCTGGTCTGAGGACCATGCTTTGAGGAGCAGGGTTCTAGTAAAATGTGACCTTACCTTATATCTTTAGTTGTATTTTCTACTAATATTTTATACATACCATATGCTCCAGGCCATTGTGCTACTACAGTAGCCACGTGTTGCTACGTGAATTTAAAGTAAGATATTCCATTCCTTAGTTGCATTAACCACATTTCAAATGTTCAAGAGCCACATGTGGCTAGTGGCGACCACATTGAACAGCATATGTATAAAGAACATTCCCACAAAGAAAGTCTTATTGGATAGCACTGCTTCAGACAGAAGAAACTATTTCTAGTTGTCCAGGCTTTGCTGTTACCATGTCTTTCCTCATTTAAGTCTTCATACACATTGTCTCTACCTGCTAAAATCAAACTCATGTCTAAAGAATTATCTCAAGTCTACCTCTTCTATGGAACTTTCTGACACTCAAACTAAGCATGCTTTCTGCTTCCTTTAAATCTGCAATTTGCATTTGGTTTTCCTCTGCAATGTATTTCTGCTGTAACGCCCATTTCTCTGGTTGTAGAATCCCATTTTCTTTGGGTTGGGGGTGGGGCCCTGCTTATCACCCATTTGTCCATGTGACTTAGTTGAACCTAACTCTACACTCCTAGCCACACTCACTAGCACATGAGCAACATGAGAGCCAGAGACATCAATCCCAGGACATTTGCTGAAAAAAATAAAGGTGATTTTTCTACTGGAGCTTCAAGCTGTCTAGATGCAAGTCTCGATCTGCTGGTAGCCATCTTGCCACCAAATGGGCAGTCGTTGCCTGAGACTGAGGACAACTTAAAAGAAAGCTAAAGCACAAGCTAAAGACAGATCCTGGATGACATCTCATACTCGACTATAGCTGCATTTGGAGTGCTATGTACCCTTGAACATTTACTGGGGACAACTTCCTTTTTTTGCTTAAGCCAGTTTTTATTGAAGGAGTCTTGCCCATTATAACATCACATAAGACATCAGTGTTCTGCTTTGATGTATGGTAGCAGCATGGTACTTGCTAATTCTCTACTCCCCTTTGATCCAATCCTTTAATAATTCAAAATCACAATCACACTTAGTTGGTTTACAGAAGACCTTGTGAACATATGTCCACCTAAATTTTTCTTTACCAATTTTAATATGCAAATTAATTTGACATGTTGATATTTTATGGAGCCAAAAACTTAATTTTCATTATCTGCCAATGAAATCTATTTTTATTTGTTTCTCTAGATTTTTATGTTCCCTTCTATACATATTATAAATTGATTCATCTCTTTACTACAAAAGTCACCTAAAACAAGTCCAAACTTCCTAGTTGGCTTGTATTGTTAACCTGACTAACCCATGTGTACCTCCAAGATATTTATCCTTCACCTTCGCCCATCTCCAAGCTTTGAAGGAACTCCCCTAAAGCCACTAAAGCTGTGCACCAGTATGGGCCAGCAGGATGGGGGAATGCCTCCAGATCCCACTCTTCCAGCCCTCCTTACCTTCTAGATCAACTCACATGGACCTTCTTCGTTTCATGTCTTGGCTTGATCCTCTTCTCAATCTTGTCCTACTCATGTATGGAATCTATGATCTGTTTGCCTCTTAATTGGCTCAGAAAGTTCCAGAGGCACAGCTGCTAGGAAGCTTCCTAGACTCCAATCTCAAAGGTGTCCCCAAACCCAGCTTTGAAACACCACCATCCTCCTGCCACCTGCTCTCTAACACTACCTTTTCTAACAAGAATTGGGCTAAAGAAGGAACAATTCACTCGAGAAGAAACAAAGAACAGGCCCCTTGCCACTCCACCCTATCCCTTTGTTATGTTTTAATTACTGTAATATACCTGTTTACAAAATAGGATTAAGAACTACTCTAGAGCACCAAGCACATAAGATTATCTTTTATTAGAGATCTTATATTACATATTCCCAAAAAGATATAAAATCTTCCAAGAGAAAATATCAAAACCTGTTGATTCCAACGTGAGCAAAATGATCAGAATGAAAGCAAACATATTCTTCCAGACAAAGGAACATAAAAATATTTCGGCACACGTACAACAAAAACATGGGAAGGTAATTACAATGTTTCACAACACATTTTACAACATTTTATTTTAATCAGTATTTGTAGAAAACAAGGATGCTGAGTTCTAGAACACTGCAGTTATAACCCCAAATTAAAATTTCAAAAAAGAGAGAAAGTAATGAACTACTTGGTCAGCTGAACATCTGTGATAAAGAATGTAATAAAACCTAACCAAATAAATATGCCACCAAGATCACAACTGAAGTGTATGGTTTTCAATGTGTGCTGTAGACACTAAATTACTTAATCAGTTCGTGACCACAACCCAAAGCAAAAGTATCCTCTCTTCACTTCCCTGATGATTTATTCTAAAAATAACTTTAAAAAGCAGAAATTTGCTGCTTAAAGAGAATTTCTGCTTTACCTGTGAACAGCTGGCAGCAACACACACTGAATAAAACCCCAACTGACATGGGACATATCATCTCAAATGACCAGAAGTGGCAAAACCACTGTTATTGCATCAAGATTTTTTATTTCATCTGATCAGAATTTCCAGAATGATTAAGCACACCCACTTATCCACAGAATACAACGAACTCCCATAGGAAGTTTTCACATGTAAGATGCAATGAGAATACTGATCTTATTCCTGGGATTTGCCTCTGGCAATCCTAACATCTGTAGATGTCCACAAAAAGGAATTGTTTTCTTTTTTCAGTTGTTTATTCTCAAAAAATGAGGAAGGAAACTTACAGTACATGTTTATTGCATGAAATTACCCCCTTGTAATATCTTTATCAATACTGGCATTGTTTTCTTAATTATTACAGGCAAAGGAGTTTATGAATTTAACATAATAATTTTAGGAGCTGCATCTTGAGTAAAAATCAAGATGATAATCAGACTACATGGTGAAAGAGAAATTAGGTTTTAATTTCCCTATAAAGACGTTGGAATGACAAGAGGTAAAAAGAAGTTTAAAGTCAGATAATACTATATTAAGTTAACTCAGAGATTTTCAAAACTGTACATACTCAAATAATCCTTTCTCTGCTGCAACTAAATATTCTAAATGTTGCTAATGGTGCTGTTGTTTTAATGTTGAGGAAAGAATGACCCCAAATATACTTTATTTAAAGTACTGTAATGGCACATGGATTTAGAACTTCACTTTGAGGTTAGCACATAAAAAAGCTTGAAACTGACTGAATGAACATATTCTTTAGTAAGATAAATCATGAGGAGCTACATATAAGTGGGTTTCAAAACAGGGTCTATTTTAAAGCATTTTCTTTGCAATATGGTTAACTACTGTGAAATGGAAACAGTATCTAGATTTTGCATGTTACAAAATACTTGCTTCAAGTTGCAGTTTCCTTGGCAGCAGCATATTTTAATTAACAATATTTTTCTTCCTTGTTTTGTTTTCTGACATCTCAGTACATTCAAATAGTCAAAATGTTTATAGAAACATCACCACAAATTTAATGAAATAGATCAGAAGGTGGCCAGCATTGTCGGGCAAAAATTACACAATTTATGTGTCATAGAAAGAACCCACCCTCCACCCTAATCCCCCAATGTCCCTTCTTCCCCAAACAGTACTACGGACACCAAAAGATATAACAAGACTTATAAAAAAATAAGGCACATTTATTTTGATATGGTAATTTAAAAATAGAAACCCCATCTCAGAACACCTGTATTCAAATGAGCTGTGTAAAAAGACACCTTGTGGTACCTAAAATAGGTTTATGGTACCTATGGAATTGCTTCTTCTATTTTAGTGACAATGGAATAAATTGCACCTATCCCATATTGTCAAGTAATGAAAATATGCCTCTTTTTCTACTGTTGAATGATTCAAAATCAGTTATTTCTGGAAATACAAAGGGTGGGAAGGGAAGGGTCAAGAGGTTCATTAGAAAAAAGGTGTGAAAATCAACTTGCCATAAGGATTGATGGATTGCACGTTTCCACTTATTCCCACACACAATTTTTCTAGCTTGTATGAATGACTGCAATCATTTTGGCCATTAGCTATTACCCACCAGTTTTTTATTCCATTTCGGTCAAATGGGTTTTTTTTAACAAAACTAACAAAGGGTCAGGTACACAAATACTTATAAGAATCTCTTCACAACCCCCAACACAGACATATTTAATTAACATTTAACCTGAGATACAATCTGTTGAGAGGCTGTCTTTAAACATTTCTTCACTTGTTGCATCAACTCACGCTGATGGTGGTGATTCATGGGAGGAACTTAAAGAAACCTGGTTAATAGCATGGCTTTTTTTTTTCTTGCTGTACTAATTTAAAAAAAAAAAAAAATCACAGAATTCATGTCTCACAGTAGCCAGAAGCTAAAATAATGTGCTTCTTTATTGCACGTCAAACCAAGAAGTGTATAAAAGCCAATGCTTCCCAATCCAAATGTGAAAGTCAGGTTCACCTCAACCGGATTCGGAATGTGCTGATTTCCATGGGACTCAAGTTGATCTCACTTATATTTTGGACAACTGGAGGTGAATGCATCAAGGATAACGATGAAGGGATGAGACTTTCAACAGTAAACTCTTTAAAAAATTTCTGTACCAACATCTAAAAAGTAAACGATAAAAAATTCACATATTTAGATCAACTTTGAAGAAAGATTAGTAGCATGTCTATACACCCAGTGAAAAATAGCATGAGAATGGGTAAGGCTGGACGTTAAGACTGTCCCTGGAGGAAAACATAGGCAACTGGTGATGGTCACGGGCTACTTGTTCTGTACTCCTTTCTGTAGTGCTTGAGAATTTCATCATGCACAGAGGCTGCTTTTCCAATAATAATAATAATTAAAAAAAAAAAAACATCTATGGGCCAACAAGCTTTAAAAACATCCTTATTCTCTTTCAGCCAATACTTATCAATGGTAGTTTTCAACCATTTCTTCTTCCTGTTCCAACAGAGTCGAAGGAAAACACAGGCCCATTACAAGGAAGGCTCATTATGTTAATGAGTCTCAGCCTACAAGGAAGGCTCATTATGTTAATGAGTCTCAGCCTACAGGGTTGAGAGATCATTTCCAAAATACTTCCCTCACTCCTTCCAGGTTATCCTAATATGTCTCTCTGGATCATATAAACCTCTCAAGACTCAACATCTTAATGTCAGAATGCTCACAGCCAAATATACTCAGATCATCAACAATGAGGTAGACTGCAAACATGATGAAAAAATAACAGAAACATCAGTACTTTCTTGGCACCAACTTCTTGCAGGGTGAGGTAAAAGAAATGGAGAAGCCAATCTATCTGAGTAGATTTAGGGCCCCCAATAGATTTTCTTTCTTTTCAGACCCTACACACGCTGATTTGTAGGACTTGAGTCTGGCATATAGTGTATCCATGGGGTTTTGGAGGAGAGCTGGGTCAGCTGAGCTTCTTGGTGGGGCAGACCTGCTTGCGTTCTAGAATCAGCCAGTCTGCCTTCTCTAAGTCACAGTGTGCTCAGAGACAGAGAAAGGAGAGTAAAGTTCACTTCCTTCCAAGGAGAGGGTTGATGGAACTGCCAGCAAGACCAACTTGAAGAGAAATCAAAAACAGGCACCCAGCAAACAGTGTTCAAACTGAAGATCTGTCGGGCCTACAGTGCTGACTCATGCAAATCTGAATTAATCAGAAGACCCAGACCTACATTTCCTTCCCAAGGGAAAACAACTGGTTGGAGCTAAGTACAGCTGCCTTGTGGCCTGTGGTGGATTATCCCACTGATCACAGTCTTAATGCTTCCGGTCACTTCCTTTTTGCTATCCCCATCAGCTTCTGTTATTATAAAACGTGCTTTGGCCTCTGTAGGACTTGGGTTTACCATCACTGAACTAGATGGTATGTGAGTGTGTGTGTGGTCAGGGGGAGGGGAAATGGGAGGAGTAAGGAGAAGATGCTTTGTAGGTTAGAAATAGAAGGCATAATAAATAACAAGGGCATTGCCTTCAAATGTGCGCAGGTTCCAGCTATACACTTTGGTGTTGGCCAGGAGAGGAGACTGAAGGTTGAGAAAGTACTTTCTGAAGATAAGGAGATTTGAGCTAACTTTCAGGCTGAGGAAAATGAGTGAGTGAAGAGGCAATGAAACATTACCATATTGTCAGGACTGTTTGTGCAAAGTGAAGATTTCAAAGCACACTAACTCAATAAGCAAAAATAACCTTTCAACCTACCTTTCCCTGAGTAGTAGAACAAAGCAGCCCCGTGTCTCTGCTAGAGAACTGGCAATCAAACCCTTTCCTGTGAAGGATCAAGGCTGCTTCATCAGAATACCCACCGCTTTCCTGCAAATAAGCAGAATGCCAACACATCACAGAAACATTAAAGCGAATAGTTACAGTACTGCACACACCACTGCCATGATCATCCTCAGACCACATTATGTAGCAATGAAGTTAGGCAAACTCATTTCCCCTCAGGTTCCATGTTCACTGTGTTCATCCACCTGCTACACCCTCCCCACCCCCAGAGGCAGGGGAGATTAGGCTCTAAGGTTACTTGTTAAGTAATCTCATGTTTTAGTTTTCCCCATTGTCCCTGAGGACTTACGTTTCCTTTTGTCTAACACGTTATAAACTATTTTACCCAAGTTTCTTCAAAAAGGCATTTCATTTTTATTTTATGTATCAGTTGAATATAGTGTACCTGAATTTAGTGCTTACATGGTCACTGAATGACATAGTGTCTGTCTTAAAACTGAAACATGACTTTTATTGAATAATAATTTTTGCTAATTGCATTAACATTCTTAATCTTCAAGGTATTTGTTCATTATTTTATTTGGGGACATTTAAATTGAATTAGTTATGCTTTTTACTTGCTAGCCGAGCCCATATTTATTAGCTTGATGTATCATTTAAATTCACATTTCAGAAACTATTGTTCCTAGGCAGGCAAAAGGAAAAATACTAAACATAAGAAGTCAGCTATGGGGATCCATATATACTTTCCTGCGATAAAATTTCTGACATCCATTTAAATAACAATGTTATGAATGGTTCAGGTTTTTGAATATTTTAAATTACAATTACCTTAATAAATTTTATGTTTCCTAAAGTGGGAAAATGTTTATGATAATAAGCAAAATGAATTAAAAATCCTTGGAAAAATTAAGAAACATACAGTTATTCGAAGGAGAGTCATGTGCTGTTCAGCGCTGACATGGCGATAAAAGTGATCCCTTTCTCCCTTCTCCAGCCACAGATATAAATGTGCCCAAGCTCTTGATCATCCTCTCTAGGGGATAAGATTTTTTAATGTGCTACAGAGACATCTTTTCTGAGTAGCTGCCAGCATTTCCACCACTGATTCGATTTTAATGTGCCTGAACGGATATAAATGTGCCCAAGCTCTTGATCATCCTCTCTAGGGGATAAGATTTTTTAATGTGCTATAGAGACATCTTTTCTGAGTAGCTGCCAGCATTTCCACCACTGATTTGATTTTAATGTGCCTGAACAGTTTAAAGCTGTCCTCACCTCAAATTCTTGGCTGGAATAACCTGTGTTATGGAGTTTCACACTGGTATTTTGCAGTGATACTGCTAAGATTTTGTTTGAAGGGAGAGAAAAAAGTCATTTAAGACGTTCTGAGTCATTACAGGATCACATGATACACACAGCAAGTTTAAACCACATGATAAAGGTTTCTAATGAAATTTCAATAAATTTCATATACTCTCCCTCCATATGCACAAAAATAGCACATAAGAAAATCCTTTATTTATTATATACATTAGATCTCCAGGATGATAACAAAGATAACTCTATTATGTGCCAACTGTGAAACCTTGGAATAGTGAAGTATCAGTTTCCTTGTCTGTAAAATGGAGTTAATGTTTGTCTACTCACTCATAGAGTCACTGTGTGGATTGACATATTGTAAGTACTGTGTAAGACAGCATCACAGCCTTGTCAGACAGACTGTGCTAGTGTAGAAGCTGTAGAGACAAGTGGTTCAGAGCCTGGGCTGGCAGTCGGACAGCCTAAGATCTGAATCCTTGCTCTGCAATCTACCAGCCGCTGATTTCAGCAAAACCAGGTTTTCCTTTCTCATAAAATGGAGATTAGGTGAAATGAAATGGCATAACAAGGAGTTGGTCCAGTGTCTGGCACATAGGAAGCCCTTGCTTAGTATGTTAGCTATTATTATTTCAATCAATGTAATCCTTCAAATAAATATTGGTGATTATTTTCATAATAGTTTCAAATTAAACAATACTCTCATTTAACTTCTTATTCATACATTTCCTTTATTGACACTATAACTTTGCATCTAAAAAAATCAAGAAACCCTCAAATTATATGTTTACAGGTATACAGCAAAATCTTAAAGTCTTTATTCAGATTCACAGATTAGATGCCCTTTTTTTTTTTTTTTTTTGTCTTTTTCCATGTCCGGCAACGGATAGCAACCCTCAGTGTCGCCCCCGTACCGGACCGAGACCGGCAACAGGATCGCAACCCTCGGTGTTGCCCCCGCGCCTCGCTCAGCCAGTGAGCGGGAACCGGTCTGTATGTGGGATCCGAACCCTCGGCGGGAGCGCTGCCGCGCTTCCCAAGTGGCGCACTAGCGCAGTGCGCCACCGGGCCGGCCCTAGATGGCCTTTTAATTAGACTCTTTTAAAAACACTATCACTATTAACCTTAAGCACCTGGCCATTTTAACTCACTGAACTATCCTTAAAAAGCACCTGATAGCAGGCATTGCTAAAATTACTGTTAACAAATATGCTCTTGGAATAGTAAATTCCTAAGGCCTTTAGCAACTGAAGGAGACAAAAAACATGGGAAGGGCCACACCTTTGGAATCCTCTCTTAAATTCTACAAGAGATTTAAACCAACAATACAAAAGTAGAGACAAAAGTCATAAAAATTTCATTTCACTGATAGAAAAAGTCATACTTTCTCTGAAAGTAAAATTACATCTCTTTTGTAAAGACTAACTAAAATAGCAATCATCTTGTCCGAGTTTTAAAAAATCAAAATTCAGGGCTGGCCAGTTAGCTCATTTGGTTAGAGTATGGTGCTGATAACATCAAGGCACAAAGGTCAAGGGTTTGTATACCCCTACCCTATCGGCCAGCCGCCAAAAAAAAAAAAAAAAAAAAAAAAA